CAAGACCCCAATTTTATGTCAGCATTAAGTTCCCTTGAAAAGCTTTAAATTGGAAACTATTTGCTGAATGGGAAGTGGGTTTTGGTGAGCAATTCATCCTATTAGTTTTCCATCCCTTGTAGTTTTGCTGGTCATTTTGATGATGCCTTTTTCCTCCCATTGTTGATTTTTGTGGACAGTTTCATGGATTTGAAGGGTGATATTGGGAAGAGCAGTATGTTTTGCAGGATATGAATATGGTCACCCTTAGAACTTAGAAGAACTCATTCTTGGAGTTTTAGCTCATTAATAGGCTCCCTACAATGTGTTCCACATAGCTTAAGTTTACAAGTTGAATTAAGGAGCTTCTTGGACAATGTGTTGGCAAGTTTCCACAAATACCACACCTCATCTTATACAGTATATTGTGGTTATTCCTGAATCTGATATTGCAGTACAGTGGTACACTGATTATTTGTTGCCCTCATCTTGATAAGCATCACCAGTTCAAGTCGTAAAGAAATTGAGCAACAACTATAATTTTTCTTCAATCAACAGCTAAGGTTTGATAGCTGTGATCTCAAAATGGGGATGTATTAATGCTGGTTTTCTTATGATCTTGATTTCTCATGGATTAAGTCTCCATTAGATCTGCTTCTTTAGGTATCCTAGATCGTCATACGAGTGTGCAAGTATGGCTTCTTTATGTGATGATTTTCATTTCTTAGGCCACAATGACAATTGTTGGTTTCAAAAACCAAATCCGTTCTCGAAACCGAAAATCAAAAAATGGGACAGTTAAAATTTATTTCATATTTTTCATTGAAGAACAATGGTCATAATCAAACCCATGCAGTTTATGCGAATCTTAAAAATGCATAAACAAAAGTAATACTTCTCGTAGCATGATTTCTTCTCTACTCCTTCAAACGGATAAGTGACAAACACAAACCATTGCTTCCGACCATCAAATCTTGCCAAGTATCCTTCAAGGCGGTTATTCAGGTGTGGACTCCTTTTGATTTGGGATTTACAAACTGGAAGATAAGGGAAGGAACCACCGCACACTGCCAAACAGAGCCTGGTGGTGGCTCCTATACTAGCCGCTTGCCTTCTCTCTCTTGGATGACAGAGGCTCATGGCTAGTAGTGGTTTTTATAGCCCCTAGTCATTGTATTTTCGTAATTTTCAAGTTTACATAATTGTGATGTAGTCCCTAATCAGATTATCTATACTGCCCTTTTAGTTATTGAGCTACTTAGGGGAGCCAATGGATCACTAAAGCTTGGATTACGATGGTACATTGAGTCCCCTAAATAGCTCCACAATTAAAAGAGCGGTAACATACTTTTATCTGAATAGGGACTGCACTTTAGATGGGAATCTGTCAAATTAGAGCAAGATACATAAGGGCCATAAATACCCCTTTGTGAGTCTCCATCATTTTTTGGGAGAGAAGGCACACGATAACGTAGTGTTATGAGAAGCTACCACGCCTACATGGTGTTTCTCATCCTATGTGGTTCCCATGGAGAATACATGAGAAACTTACACTACAAGAGGCATTCTTTCTTTTCGGGGATTTAGATTCACACGTTCTAAAAGCATCTGAGACTATTTAAACATAAGATACTCTCTATTTTAAAGAGTCAATCCTTAAAATTATGTTTCAAGATACTCTTTAAATTAATATTTTAATTTAGAGAATAAGCAAAATATTTCAATTTTCAATGGAGGAAAATTATATAGTAATTTAGAGAGAAGCTAGTAAAAATAAATTATAAGAAAAAACAATAAAATTAAGTGTTAAATATAAAGAGCATGTTGGTGTACTTATAATTTTTTCAATCAAAATTTATAGATACTTTCCAAATTATAAAATATGCTCTTTAAAAATAGGGAGCCTCTTGGATATGATCTAAATGAGAATGATTCATGGCTTTTTGTGTTTTATTGAAAGAAAATCTGAAATGTGTTTGTAAAGACCATATCCCGTCGCATTTTTCCTAAATGACCTACTGGACGAGAAGATTCGATTAAATTTGGATAAAAATCCGTTAGAGTAGGATGGATAGTATAGCTATTAGGTGGTATGGGGTAGAGTAGATGGGAGTTAGACATTTTTATGTATTTCTTTGGTAGCGCCATATAGGATCTACTGAAATTTAAGATGATCATCCGATCATATCCAATCCTATGTGTAGTCTATGCCTGTCAAAAGTACACACCCATATGTTAGGTAATAAGTTACTTCTTGTTACTGGTGTGATGGTGCTTCATTGAATATCCTTGTTGTTCAAATGAAGAACTCGAGTCAATGAAGGGGAATGTAAATGTTTTATTTTGTTAAGTAGCCTGAGAATTGAATGGAAAATGAAGGTTTTTCTGTCTAATTTCAAAACTAAAGTGAATTGTTTGTTTGTTCACCAGTTAATTTTCTTTTTGTCTTCTATTTCACGAAATGCCTAACATGCAATATACAGGAATATCTCTGTGCGTGATATCTTAAAACATTATCGGTTCAATCTTATGTGAAGACTATTGGATATGTGATAATGTGTTTTGACCTTTCATAATATTATGCAGCAAAAATGGAAAACTTTCAGGTAAAGGGAGATGGACAGAGAGAGTGAGAAAGTAAAGAAAAACGTGACTTAATCATTCAAATTTGAGTAGATTACTGGTTTGATTTCTGTTTCACATACTCATGCTTATAATGTGGGTTTTGATGTTTATGACTTCTATATTCTCACATATGATAAACTTTGTAGTAGTTAACCATTACTTCTAAATTTCAATTCATATTCAAACTCTTCAACTAATTCTTATAAATTCTATTTATAACCTTATGAATGCACTATGCTAGAAGCAGTAATGCACTCACCAAGTGTTTTTTGTAAACATATGGAATTTACACCATAGCACATATTCGTACAGATGTAGTTTGTTTAGCACGTTTTGTAGTTCCTGGTCTTGTCTTTTATACGGAGATTTTGTTTAGACATACATTGTTTTAACGACAACCAATTCTTCCTGTGCAATAACTAGCGTTTGTTTTGTCTCGTGTGATTTGCAAAATCATTCCCTTTTGGCGGACCAAGTTTTACTAATTCAGGCGTTCACCTTGTGATTGCAGCTTTCTGCCAAATCCATGGATGGTTTATATGGCGAAGGAAGCTCTGAAGTTTCTTGATTGCTTTCATTTCTATTTTCATTGAATGCTTTTAAATATAATAATGAATAGCACTTACAAAAAAAAATTGTCACAAACCATTATTTATGGTTTACCTTTTGACCCTTGGATTGGAATTTGGTGATTGTTTTTAAGCATAGTATCCCAATTTTTGGGCATCATATTGTGATTTGTTTCTATATGTTCGTGCAAATTCTGTGCGTAACATTGACATGATTAAACAATATAATATACATAGCATTTTCCATAATGGTGTCCATAATAAACACATGGAGGCCCCTATTGAGGGGCGCCCGGGCATGATGGACACTATTATGTATTGTGCTATGTACAACCCTATAATAAATGTGGCTTCTTTTCTTCTTGCATTTCTATGCTTTTAAATGTTTGTAAAAATGTGATTTAAAATGGATAAAAGTAGTGGATTCAAAGATATTATGATTAAAAATGACATTAACTTATAAATTTAAAAATATTTGCCAAACACGTAATTAGTACTGCCTAGGGTCTAATCCCATAGTTCTCACGTTGCATCATCTTTGATAAAACAAACAAATGCCACAATATGCATCAGAGTTCTTCTTCATGGTCACCAGACAACGTTCTCTTCACTTTGCCAACAGTCTCTCCCACAGCTTCTTCTGCAAATTTTGCTGCTGATTTTGCAGAATCTTGTACCGCTGTCTTGCTCGTATCCACGCTCTTCACCACTGCCTCTTTTACCTTCTCCGTGGTCCCCTCTTCGCTGGCCCTCTCTTCATCAACTCCCCGGAAACTACACATCAAAATCAAAGATATAAATAAACTAAGAAAGTTATATCATGTTTGGCAAAGCTTAAATGTTACTCCCGCTGCACAACTTACTCCTCTTACTTTCTATCCGTATATTCTACCTATCAAGTAAGCACTTGAACAATCCCTAAATCTATCGAGCAAACATGAGAGAAATCTTACTCTAAATTTGGAGGGGAAAAGTATTGCAAGACTCTCATCAAATAGTTGGAAGGCGTTGTTGGAAGAGAGAACATTCTCTTAACCGCGTCGATTATAGGCATTTTCCTTTCTTCAACCTGTATGTAGTGCTCTCCCTTTTCATCTCCATCCGCCGCCACCGCCGAGACTACGGCGGTGGTGTGGAAGAAGAAGAAGGTGATGAACAAAAACAGAATGAATACGAAGTATCTTTGAAGCTTGTTTTCATCCATGAAAATGACGTATAATCCACCAAGTAGGCGTACATGAGTATTTGAAATTGATGATGATCTTTTTCAACGAATAATTTATCTTGAAAATGAAGTTGCTGCCTTTTTTGTACACGTTGGCACATGAAGAAACGTGGGTGGCGTCTTCTGTGTTCCACGTTGTGCTGCTTTGGGGAGGTGGGGGCAGGAGTGATGTACAAGTATAACCAATTTTTTATGACTAACGTTATTGACGGTGAAGATTACCGACACTAGGAATAATCTTTGTACGTGTCGTATACATGACAGTTTCTTATTTGATATATTAATGTAGTAGTTTTTTTTATTTTTCCATATATCAAATAACAAATTATCATGTATATGACACGTAGGACAACTACCGATAATTTTAACTATGAATAACATTATTTTTTAGTTTTGCTACAAGTACAGAAAAAAATTAACAGAATTCCTACAGAAAAGTACTTGACAATTTTTCATTATTGTTTTACACAACACACAGAAAATGCACTATACAGATGTTGTCAACGCAACACCTATATCATTTGTCAATAATTCCATGTACGTATGGAATTATTTTAATCTTTGTTAGTGTAGATGCTCACCATTTCATTATGGAAAATTTCGGTCCACCAATCGAGTATTTAGATAAGATGAATATGATACTAAAATTTAGAAAAAGATTTGATTTCAAGTCTAATAGTATTTGAACGAACGTGTACGAGCCTTTGGAAAACGTCATTTGAATAAATATATTTGGTTCTTTTTCTAAAAGTTTAAGTTTAGAGTAAGAGAAATACTATTCATCCTCAATCTATGTGGATGTAAATGATTGGTTAAATGATAGGTGAAATTAAATAATCCAATCATTTACATCGACATAGACTGGGGATGCATCCCCACTGAGGATGAATAATATTTTTCTTAGAGTAATACTATGTAGCTTCACTGTGGTTGTAACCCTAGTTTAGGTAACTCTAAATAATAGGTTAAATGAAAGGACTTATTTAATTTCACATATCATTTAATGTCGCATTAACGTCACATATACTGGAATTGCAATCCCAGTAGGTCTAAATAGTATTACTCTTAAGTTTATAGATAAAACGAATAATGTTTTTCTTTGACTTTGCAGTCTAAAACAACTTTTGTTTATGAGTAATACTATTTATTATCATGATGATGAAACATCAATGATGTGAAAACAAATTATCTTTCACATTTTTTTCCCTCTCTCTCTCTCTCTCTCATAAAAATTGAACTGCTCAATTTCATTATTCTACAAAAACTACCATATCACTGATATTTTATCATCGTAATGATAAATAGCATTATTCTTTGTTTATGCATTTGTTTACTAGGTTTGAATTGATGAAAGTAGTTTGCTAATTGTTTTAAAATTCTGTCATTTCTTTTGGTAAAAACTCGACACAAATCCTTCTCCTCCAACTCGACACAATTACGCGGTGAATTTACCTTTTATAGAAATAACAAAAATAGATTAAAATTAATCTTTTAATACTTTGACCTATAAACTATAAAGATACATTTGAAATAAATAAAAAATTTAATAGATGGATCCCGTGGAAAAGTCGTTTTAATTAATTTTCTGCATTTGTTGCAACATCAATTAAATAGATGAAGCACAAATCAGCTTGCTCACGAGATGATATTAAAATGATAAAATAAATGCATAATCTAATCGTTTTTTTCCCCTAAGAAATTTACCGTTATCTTGTCGAGATTTATTATCTTAGATTGTTAGATCATCAGTGATCATTTATTAGTATTGTATATTCTATTTCTCCTTTAGGGATGGCAAGGGGGCGGAGCGGAGTGGGGCGGGGGCGCTAAGAAATTTCCCGTCCCGTTTAGGGCGGTGCCTTTCCCCGTTTACTCCTAGTTTAAATTTTTTTCTTTTTTTGATAATTTATTTTTATTATCCATGTTCATTAGATTTAGATAAATAATTTTAGTTACTATTT